AAATATTTTCCTCATTGTCTTTTGGAATACATTTGAGGTGGTTTCTTTTAACCAATAAAAACATCTCAATTTTCTACTTAGGGAACTTTAATATTCCTGTGTAGTTCGTGTTGGATAAAATGTGTTAAACACAAGCAGATTATCTTTTTATAATTTATTTTTTCCATTCAGTGTGCCAGACTTCTTAAGAAAGAATCCGTCTGCATCTAGTAGTTCTACTTTGGCTGTTGCTCCTGCTGCAGTGAGTAGCAGTTTTGGGTCAAATCCCGGTGGCAGCACCATTGGGGGAATTATGCATTTTTCAGAATGACTGACCTCACTCATGGTACAGTTGAATTCTAACATATTTTCTGGGAGTTTATGGCTTTGGCTGTTATTTAAGTACATAAGTCTTGAGTTTCATGAAGTTTTTTTGTTTTATTTATTTTTTTCAAATTACCTTCAGCAGTGCTTTTATAGGAAATCAAAACTGTCATATCCAGAATTACACAAATACTTTTGCTAGAGATTAAAGAACTATGAAACAAACAGATCAAAAGCACACTAACAGTTTTCTCACATCAGCTCTGAAAACCTTAGACATCTTACTGCACCCAGAGAGTTGTTTCCTTTCATGAAATTCTGATTAAAAAAGAAAAGAACAAAGAAACTAATTTTTTTCAAAGCTCTACAAATTTTGAATTCAAAAAAAATTACAATCCCAAGCTTGATTTCAGAACATATGTGTAAAAGAATGAAACCATGATCTTTGACTTGATGTAGGTTGAAAATGAAATATTCTCATTTGTATAAATTTGTACAGATATCCCCCATATGAATGAAGCTGTGGAGGAAAGAGGTGGCTTACTAAGATTGCCTATAAAAGCCTATTAAAGCATTAATTCAGGGACCAGCGGTTGGCGTAATGGCTATGTCGCTGGACTCCCATGTGGTCGACTGCGGTTCGAGTCCCAGACCCAGTGACTTAAACTCATGCCAGGTGCATGTGCGTGTGTGCCCAAGATCCCAAGAGGAGAATGGAGAAGGGATTGTGGCATGGCCACCCCCCCGGGGGGTGATTTCTCACTTTCTGTCTCTCTGTCTTTCTGGGGAGCACACACGCCCTATAGCAAAAAAACTCCTCAAAAAAAAAAAAAGGCACTAATTCAGCAGCAGTGCTTTTATAGGAACTCCTTGCCAGTTCTGGCCACCAGACACCACACCTTGCCCTGAAGTGACTACATTTTCCAAAGAACTGTTGTATCTGATCTGAGCAGAATTGTATCTCCCGAAATGTCAGGACTTAATCTCCATCCACAGGAAGTTGTACGTGTGGGAGGTGGGGAGAAGTGGGGAAAGCTCCAGAAGAAAGGAGCAGGGCATCTGCAGGCTGGCAGGTGAGAGCTCGGCATGGCAAGGCGACAGCTGGGCTGCACTAGAGGTGAGCAGAGAGTGGATGAGATGAAGTACTCGGCAAAGAAAGGGATGAAAGTTACATCCTATGAACAGGAGAAGAGAAGGAAGGAAAAGAAAAATCACCCATTCACACACATAACTGTGCTCTGCATCCATCACATATGGTGAACGCCTACGTCACTGGCAGGTGAACAAGTGGGTCCACCAGGCCCTCGGCCTCGCATCCTGGGTGACTATAGTGAGCCTGGTACTTTGCCACCAGCCCCGTCGTCTGGGATTGCTATTCTCTGGACTCAGGTTTCCAACTTCACAGACATTCTAACCCCTGTGGTGTTCGCTCCCCTACCTCCCAGTTCCCTTGCTCTGGCCTCTGAGTTGGGGACTTGGATCTTCCTCTCCGTTCAGTCTTGCCGCCTGGTTGGTTTTGGTGGGGAGGAGTAGGGGGATGGTGGTCAGGCGGATGGTGGTCTTCCCTCATGCTGACAGAAGCAAGCTTAGGTAATCAGAGCATGAGGCCAAAGTGCCAATACCTGCTGGTCTAGAACCAGCTGTAGAAAGTACATGAGATACGCTCTCTACTCTCAGAGAACCTGGTTTCAGAGGTAAAGGGAGGAAAACAGTAAACAATGAAAAAAAAACCTTACAATTCTGCCAAAGGTACAGGAGGAAACTAAGCAAATGCCAACATAGCAAATAAGAGAGCCTGTTCCACAAAGAAAATAAGAGAGCCTGAAGAAGACCTTTCTGAAACAAGAATGAACAGAGGCCCGCAAAGCACAGGGGGCTGGAGAGAGTGCTCCACGGTGGGAGATGACAGGCGAAAGCATTAGGTAAATACATGAGTTCACGGGGACAGGTGGTGCTCTTAACTGTGTTCGCCTCTGCTACATTCTGGGAGTTAGCAGTAGATGACTTTGGAAACATCATTTTCACTCATCTACACTTTGATAAAGTAGGAAAGAATTGCTATTCGCTTGAGTTATTTTCTTAATTTTTAAAATTTGCTAGAGGATGTGCACACTCACAAGATAGAAAGGGGACTGTGAGAAAGCACTCCTATGGGGGATGGTCATGCCACAATCCCTTCCCCGCCCTCATGTCAGGACTTGGGCACGAAGGCATGTTGTGCCCCCGTCGCGAAATTCTCAAAAGACCACCAAGGAGCCGATTCTGATGCAAGAACACAAGGGTCGCTTTTATTTGGGCTCGAGCCGGGACTCCCAATCTGACACAGCAGGTCAGAGTTGAGAGCCCCGCGTGTTAGTTGGGCTGGGTTTTTATTTGACTGTTGCGGGGTGGGAGTGGGGGTTGGGGGGGAGGTCGAGGGGTGCTGAGGAATGCACTCAGGCGGCTATACATTGGCTGTAGATTTCAAGAAGCATAGTTGTCTTTTTCCTGATTGGCAAGAAAGTTACTTCGGGTCTCTGGTTTTTTTTTTTTTTTTAATCATTGGCCAGCCCTGATGGGGTGATGGTCTTAAGACCTTCTCTTACGTGATCAGCTTGCCTCCTTGAAATGGTGCTGATTCTCAGCAAGGTGCATTTAACAAAATGGAGTCACTCTGGTCCTTCAGGCACACGTGCCCACCGTGTTTCTCATGCCATAGGTTATGGGACTCCAGCAATGCAGGCAGCCCTGTGGGATCCAGCCACCTAAACACCACACTGTGGGCTGGCCCAGTTATTTATCTTCATCTGCTCTTCCTAAGAAGGGAGCGCTCCTGCCCTGATGGGTAGCCAGTATCCAGCAAGTGCAGGATCAGGTTTGCACTACCATGCCAGGCAACATGCAGTCCTATTGTTGGTGACAGCCACTGGAGATGGTCAGCCAGGGTTCAAATTCTGGCTCTCCCTCCTATCTGCTGTGTGACTTTGAGCATCTCTATATCCTTTCCCCATGTTTAAAAGAGGGATATTGTGAGGGGCAGACATAGTCGCTATACAGGATTTAATTATTATTTTGTAAAAAAAGAAACATATATCCCATCACATCTCCATTGCTTTTTTAAGCTCAAGTAAAATTTTTTTTTTGAAAGTTTTTTTCACTATAGGGCACGTGTGCTCGCCAGACAGACAGAGAGAGACATAGAGACAGAAAGCGAGAAATCACCCCCCAGGGGGGATGGTCACACCGCAATCCCCTCTCCTCCATTCTCCTCTCGGGATCTTGAGCACGCACGCACACGCGCCTGGCGTGAGTTTTAAGCCACCGGGTCCAGGACACGAACCGTGGTTGACTACGTGGGAGTCCAGCGACATAGCCATTATGCTAACTGCTGGTTCCCAAGTAAATTTTTCTGTATACTTTTTAAGTGTGAGAATACAGGGAATTTGGGCCTTTTGTACAAATCACAGCCTAAGGCATAGCAATACTAACATTGAAATAAGCTGCCTGCAAGGAACCAGGTGAATCAGAGAACAAGTGTTCTATAGGGTGTCACTATAGGGTGAGCATTTGAAGCCTTTTTTTTTGGAGAGGTTTTTGCTATAGGGTGCGTGCGCTCACCAGAAAGACAGGGAGAGACAGAGAGAAAGTGAGAAATCACCCCCCAGGGGGGATGGCCACACCACAATCCCTTCTCCATTCTCCTCTTGGGATCTTGGGCACACACGCACACGCACCCAGCGAGAGTTTAAGCCACCGGGTCCAGGACTCGAACTGTGATTGGCTACATGGGAGTTCAGCGACATAGCCATTACGCTAACTGCTGGTCCCACATTTGAAGCTTTTGCTATTTCTAGGGGAAAGGTATGTGTGGCAGGCGTGGTAACTGCTTATCCAAAGCCCATCCTGTCATCGGAAAAGTCATGACACAATTTTGCAGAGAAAAGCACTGGCAGATATGTCATGACTTTTCTGATGGCACAGTATTTTTCTCCCTTTCCTAGATTTGTTTGGGGCAGTAGCATGCTCAGGTGAAAGACCTTCCTACACTCCCAGGAGTGGCAATTTGAACCAATTCTGGCCAGCTAAAAGTAAGCAGTTATTAGTGGGTATATCTCTTGGGACGCATTTCAAAAGAAGCAGACTTGGATGGACTCTGCCTTTTCTCTTGTGCTTTCCTCTTTTTCTACTCAGCGTGGGTATGTGATGCTGAACTGCACAGCCATCTTGAGGCCATGAGAAGGAAACCTATGTGCAAAGGTGGGCAGAACAGAAAGACTGAAAGAACACAAGTGTGGCTTATGACTTCTGGGTTTTTTGTTAAATAAAACAAGATGGAAACTGGGTTTCAGATATATTTAGCCTAACACAGTCCTAATGAAAAGAGCCAAAAGGGGCCTTCACTGCTATTTCTTTAGCCAAAAGCAAAACTGATCATGTAACAATGGCTATTGGGTTGGGTGTTCTTAGTACCCTTCAGTTTCCTTGAATCTAGGGTATGCATTTAAAATGTACCAAGACCAGGATATTGTTCACATTTAAATGCTTTTATTAGAATACGAATAAATGCAGATAAAAAACAAAAAGTCACACACCCACAAAAAGAAGGCAAAACTCAGAAATGCTATTACTGATTAGGCAAATTAGAGGAAGGAGTTTGTCAGTGTATACAAAATGTAAACATTTGCCCTGGGATTTCCCACAGATGGCACAGTCCACACGGACTTATTTGGAACAAATATTTCTGTTGAGTCTCTGGTATACTGTCTATAAAGTCTGCAAACCTGCCACCCTGAAAGTTAGCGTTCCTAGCACACTTGGAATTTTCTATGCAAAAAAACCCAGAATGCCTCTCAATCAAGGCAACTTGAACACCAGCTGGAACATGTGGAAGCAGAGTACCAAGTAAATCGGTCCTCCGACCGTCAGCTCTCCCGCACTGTGCCCATTGTATTTACATTTACTTTGACAGAGAGTACAAAAATATACACAGTATATAAAACCCTACTTGAGCCTGGGGTGGGGGGTGAAATACTTCTTGCTTATTAAATGCTCCAGAGAGAGGCGTCAGATCAGTTCCTTGAGCTCAGGGAGTAAGGACTAAGAAGAGGCCCTCTTCTGTTCAGAAAATGGGGACTCATAAACTTCCATGGGTGGGCAGGTACACACCAGGTGCTGATCTCCGTATATGTCATCAATCCGAGCGATGGTTGGCCAGAATTTGTTCTCTGGTTTCACAAAGGGCTGCAAAGGACAAAAGATGGAAATGTGGGGTGTTCTGAGAGGTTTCTCTTAGGGGAAGGGGGGTTTCCATGACAGTCCCACAGCCTAAAATGCCAGCAGCCCAACAAGTACTCTGAAAAGCCAAAAGCCAGCCCTGTGTAACTGCCAAAAAAGTCTGACTTTTGAGCCTTGTCCCTATCCCACTCAACAGACCACAGATCTCCTTCTCAGAGGAGAATCGAAAAGGAAAGAAAATTGCATTGAGGCCATCTCCCTAAATCCACTTAACAGGGCTCCTTTTCAGTTTTCCTCTGCTGTACTCCCTGTGAGTTCCTGAACCTGTGGTTGGTACCCTAAATGCCCCTAGATCTCTGAAAGCCAGTTCCTTTGCTGGGAATTCCCCATCAACCCACATTTCACAAGGTGTCCCACTAGCGGTTTCTCTGCTGAGGAGACCGAGGGGGAACCGTCGGTTGGTGATGGCCTGCGCACAGAGCACCATCCCAGTTGGCACATTCAACCTCAGAGGAGAACTTACGAGTGGGAAAGCTGCCACTTCTCTGGAATATGGCCGATCCCAGTGGGAGGATGTGACACAGGTCAGGGAGTGTGGAGACATCTGAGACAGAGACATGACGGAAGAGAGCTCAGAGCAATGCCTGCCTTCACATATGGCGCCTCAACCACCGAACTCTGATGGAAGCCCAGGCGAGAAGGCTGACACCTTGTTTCAATTTGGGGGTTAGGAAACTTTTTTATTGTGAAATGTTCGAATATCAGAAAGTTATGCTAATAATAAGCACATCTACCACCCAAAGCATGTATTGTCTTTTAAAATAATAAAAGATCACACAGTTGAAGGTGTGTAATGTTCCATTATACAGGGAACTTCAAAAAGTATGGAATAATGGAATTGAAGTATGAGTTTTATTTGGGGCCCCCTGCCCCCAAATTGAAATCCATACATATTTTTGTTTTCAAGATATGTAACTTTCTATGAACTTTTAGAATACCTCCTTGTATTTCTTCTATGCATTTCATAGTTTGCCCTCACTATCCTGAATTTGGTGTTTCTATTCTCATCATGTTTTACTATCATTGCACATACTAATAAGTAGCATATAGCATAACTTGGACATTTTATACCTATTTCATCCTATGAGTATTCTCCATTTGTTTTTATAACTCAATGCTATGTTCACTGAGATATCTATTGCTGTTTTAAAAAATAGCCTAAATCCTGAAAGAATCAGCAATATCCAGAAAGAAAAGGGGGAAAAATTACATTAGCCTGTGAAACACATTTAGCAAAGGCACCTGTTTTTCGTTAGCCACCGGCCCTTGCATTCCCGTCAGCCAGGGAGCTTGGGAACTAGCCTCAGCTTCTGCCAGTACCTCAGACTTGTTCTCTGGCTTGTAGACATAAAGATAGCTACGGCCGTCATGGTATTCTCAATTCAAGATTCCTCGGCTAACGTCTGGACCTAACAAGAAACTTGGGACTCTTACCAGATATAAAATTAACATGTTTTGGAAGAGGTGGGGTAATGACTAACGGAGTTTTCTCATACATGGGCCATAAACATGACAAAACACCCAGGCCAAATTTAATCCTGTAGTTCTGCTTCAGAGTCTATTTATACAGACTCTGTGAGGTAAATCTGAAAGTTGTATTTATGCTATAATCCCACTGGCGAGACCTAGAATGGCAAGAAGTCTCTAACTAGACAGGGTCCTTAAGCCATTGCTCCTTCCTTAGACAATCAATTCCTGTGGAGTGTGTGGCTCCTACAATCGCATTATATTGATATTTGATAGAGTAACTGCTGTTATTTAGCTCAAGACTATTTAAGTTTCTAAATAGTCACCTCAGAAGAATTTTCTTATTCTAGGCAAGAATATCACTTTCAGAGGAGAGTTCATGGGTGACCTGCCAACTGTCCAGACACCACTTTGTACTCTAAGGGACCTTTCAATAGGTACCAGCACCTACACACCTTGAGTGGATTGACCCTAGGGTCAATGCGGCCCTCCTCGATGTCGGCAATTTCCTGTCGAATGCTGATCATGGCATCACAAAATCTGTCAAGTTCTGCCTTGTCTTCCGACTCAGTGGGCTCAACCATGAGGGTCCCCGCCACAGGCCAGGACATGGTAGGGGCGTGAAATCCTGCAAAGGGAAACAGGACTATAGGGAGCGGCCAGATCTGAGCAACACAATAGTGACCTTTATTTTTTAATTTTTTGCCATAGGGCGTGTGCTCTCACCAGACAGAGAGACAGAGACAGAAAGCGAGAAATCACCCCCTAGGGGGGATGGCCACGCCACAATCCCTTTTCCTCCATTCTCTTCTCGGGATCTTGGGCACACACACACATGCACGCCCAGTGTGAGTTTTAAGCCACCGGGTCCGTGACTTGAACTGCGGTCGACTACATGGGAGTCCAGTGACATAGCCATTATGCTAACTGCTGGTCCCACAATAGTGACCTTTAAAGACAAGCAGAGATACAGTTTTTGTGCTGACACTGCAAGGCTAGTGAAAGCTCTAACGAGGACATAATCTGCTTTTCTTGTATTTGCACTGCAAGGCAGTGTAAATTAAAGGAAACTCTGTGTCAGCTAGAGAAGGCCAGGAGGGGCTTGTTTAGAACTGCAAGACGCAACATGCTCCACGGCTGCGGTCGATAATAGAAAACACCTGGCTTTACTTCCCACTTCTCCCTCCCCCATTGCCTTATAAAAGAATAAACATAGGGTCTGGCAGATGGCGTAATGGTTACATCACTGGACTCTTAGGTACTCAACCACAGTTCGAGTCCTGACCCCAGTGGCTTAAACTCACACTGGACACATGTGCACATGTGCCCAAGATCCCAAGAGAAGAATGAAAGAAACGGGATTGTAGCATGGCCATACCCCCACCCCCGGGGTATGTCTCTGTCTCTGGTGAGCACACGCCCTATAGCAAAAATGTGTCTTTAAAAAAAAATTAAAAAGAAAAGAAAGAATAAACCTAGAACAGCTCAGTGCCATGGTGGTCTCCATCAGAGACGCCTGGTCTGACCAATCTCTGCTTTTCTCTACTTGTGTGTCTGTGTGTGTGTTCTTTCTAAATCCACCGCTGCTCTCACTCAGGGCCCCATCTTCCTGCCATGTGGGCCGAGACAGGAGAACTTGCCTTGCTGACTTTGGCCTCCCCAGTTTGGGAAAAAAGCCCCATCCCCTCTTACAATGTATGCTAAGGAAATCATCAGATATCCTTGCAGATACGTATATCTGAGGATTCATCTAAGCGTTATCTATAAAAGGAAAACTTAGGAAGCAACCTGATATCCAACAATGAGGGGACAGGTTAAGCAAATTTTAGAGTATCTGTACAATAAATATGTAACCATTCAAAAATATATAAACTTGGTGGCAAACATTCAAAAATTTTAAGCAAAAAAAGTGAACCAAAGGAGAAGGAGAAAGCACCCCCAAATGGGCGTGGTCACATTGGAATCCCTTCTCCATTTTTCCATTCTGGTGAGATTTGGGGCATGCACACACTTGTGCCTGGTATGTTTTCCAGTATACTGGGTCATGATCAGGGTTCCTGTTTCTTGTCTCTCCAGTGAACACATGTATCCTATAGCAAAAAATTTCTCTTAAAAAATTAAGTAAATGCATAAAGGAGAAGCTCAGGGCTGGTGTGTGTGTGTGTGTGTGTGTGTGTCCAAAATATCAAGGTGAGGAGGGGAGAGGGGACTGCCATGAGGCCATCCTCCCAAAGGGGTGACTCCTTACTTTCCCTGTCTGTCTCTCTCTGGCAAGTGTACACACCTTATAACCAAATTAAAAAAAGAAAAAAAGTTACCCGAACAAAAGTAAAAAAAGACTTTTCCCATGTTATACTCTTTTTTTTCTGTGAAACTTCTAAAAAATGAAGGCAAACTCCCAGGTTGATTTGCCCGTCAGCCAGTCTTGCCCCAGAATGGTGCAGTTCCCAAATATAGTGTGAATCATCATTACACAGGGTGTTTTAGAGTCACATCTGCATGTTTTTGGCTTTTTTAGGTTTATTTAACTTTTTTTTTCATGATAGTGACAGGCAGGCAGGCAGGTACTCCCAGAGGTTTTTCACACCATAGATCTGTCCCCAGCCTCAGCTAGCCAGGATCACAGGCATACCTGCACACGGCTGGAATGTACAGGGCGATCTTGGGATGCCAACCCAAGATCTTCCCGTATGGCTTCAGTATCACAGAGCACTGCACTAGTGCGATGCCATCAGTGCTGGCCACAACATTTTGTTATAAATATTTTCAACCTACAGGAATGTTAAAGGACTGTAGGTGAACACTCACATACCCCAAAACCAAGATTCTGCAATGATGCTTTCTGCATTTTCACATATCTGTTTATTCATCTTTTTTTTTTCTTCTTTTTTGCTATAGGGCATATGTTTTCACCAGCAAGACAGTGAAAATGAGAAAACACTCCCCATAGGTGATTGGTCATGATGCAATTCATTTTATTCATTTTTCCTTTCTGTATTTTGGGCACACACATACATGCCCAGTATGTTGTTCAAGACACCGTCTGGGACTTAAACCACAGTTAGTCATGTGGGATCCAACTGTCTTACGCACCACACCACCATCTGGCCCCCTAGATTTTTTCCTCCAGTATTTAGAAGGCTGCTAAGAACCTGGGGCTCCCCACTTACTCACAGATCGGTTTACAGTGGTGTCTGCACGTTCCATTTGTGCTTTGAGGAAGAGTGGCCCCCAGCTACCATGGTCAGCTGCATGAATATCAAAAGCCATGTACCTTAAGGCCACTTACCATAATCCTGGAGCCTCTTGGCCACGTCCACAGCCTCAATATTTGCAGACTTTTTGAAAGGTCTTGTGTCCAAAATAAATTCATGAGCCACATAACCTATTTGGAAACATTGTTTCAGCTCAAGGTCAGCATCTGCTTGTTATACCCAAACAAATGAGTAATAAATATTTCACTTTTGCCATAAGGCATGTGCACTTATCAGAGAGAGACAGAAAGAAAGTGAGAAATCAGCCTCCAGCAGAAATGGCCACAGCACAATTCCCAATTCCTTCTCCCACAATCTGCTCTCAGGATTTTGGACATGCGTGCACATGTACCCAGCATGATTTTCAAGCTACCAAGACTGGGACTCAAAACACAGTTGGCCATCTGGGAGTCCAGTGACATAACCTCTATACCATCTGCTGGTCCCCAATAATTCATCTTTTTGTGTGTATCAATGAGGACTCAGAAGCCATGGGCACTTGGTAAGTTCACAGTTGTCAATAAAGACTTCCTTTACTTTTTTAAAAAGAATTATTTTATGTGTCATTTTTTAGTTTGCCACAGGGCACACCCACTTACCAAAGAGAGAGAGAGAGAGAGAGAGAGAAAGCAAGCTGCAACGTTTAGGACTCAATCCGTGGTTAGCCATCTTGGAGTCCAGTGCCTTAACCACCACACCACCTGCTGGCCCCTTCACTTACGCTCATTGCAAAGAAATAGGTTCAGCACATCGGGTCAACATATCTGAATGTCAGTTTACTGCATGCGTGAGCCTGGCTGTGGCTGATAGAGTAAGAGGCATTGTTGGAACATTCAACAGGAGATGTCTTGGGATAAGATGATTTCTACTCTGAGGACCTAAAATCTACTTGCAATAGTTAACATGTCATAACAGTCTGATCCTTATCTACAAAATATTTCTAGAGCTGAATAGCCATTGACACTTTTTAGCAACTTTACCCTCAACATCAAATAACTGTTTCTTCTCTGTATATATTAATATATATTAAACATATCCTCATAAGACATATATAGAATTGTATATGTCTCTTCAAAGAAGCTTCTGACGTTTAGGGTTCAGGCTGTAGCTGGAGAATTAGAAATAAGAACTGTCAAGCAATATAGTACAAGTGGCAAGGAGTTAATGAGGCCCAAGTCTGAGGGCCAGTCCATGCTCTCGAATGCAAACAGACTACCCACCTGGGCCTAGGCAGCCCTCTTCCAGCATGAGTTACTGACCACCCATCCCTCATCAAGAACAAACCAGTGAGTAAGTCGGCATTTTGATAAATAGAACATCCTTCCTAGGGGCTTCTCAAATTCTATGATCTACCAAATGATGATTTTCCATTGAGAAAAGTATCTGTTCATGAGACAGTAATGTACTCTTTCAATCTGCTCCCGTGACTCTCAATAACAATGAATCTTTTAGACACGCAGACCAGACATAACTTCTCAACCCCGTGAAGAACCAACTGCTCCTGTCACTCATAACCCCTGAGGGTAACCTGTGGATTTCTCTGCTTTGTATATAATGAAGAAATGTGAAAGATTGGCTTTTGTTTGAAAATAAAAGTAGGAGCATTTGAGTCTTTGAAACATATACTAAAAATGCATATTTTTAAAAGTTTCTAAGACTGAAAATTTTGTAAGACATATGATTTAAAAGTAAAAAATTCTATTTATGTCTAGATTTTTGGTTGGTTGGTTGTTTTTTAATTTTCCACAGGACACGTGCAGTTACCAGACAGAGAAGGAGAGAGAAAGTGAGAAAGCACCCCCCAGGGAGGATGACCACGCAGCAATCCCTTATCCCTTTCCTCTCAGGATTTTGGGCATGCACAGACATGCACGTGGCATTTTTTTAAAGCCACTAGGCCCAGGACTTGAACCACTCCTTTGGCCATGTGGGATTCAGCTGCTTTAACTACCATGCCACTGGCTGGCCCACTCTATTCATGGGTTGATAAACTCGGGGGATAAAAACAAAGTATAGACAAGGACTAACCAATGGAATATTCAGGAGTGGGAGGTGAATACCATGAGAATACTTAAGTCCTTTTCAACAAGCATTTCCAGGACTCTTCAGTGCCCTGCTATGCCATCCCACTTTGGGAGCCGAAGGTCAGACTTCGCCCTTTCTTCTCCGAGCCTCTGGTTGCCACCAGGAACACTGTGACAATGGCTGGAGAGAAAAGGCTAATGGAAGCTCCCTGCTCTGTAGGACAGACAGCAGAGGAGGGGAAGATGGCAGGTCAGTGGGAGAAGACTCACTTTTAACGGGTGGGCAAAGAGGAGAGTCTTCTGAAAAGGGAATCAGTAAAAACTGAAAGGCCTCAACAAGCCAAGCCTGACCCAGCATTGCTAATACCTAGACTTCATTTGTAGAGCCCCTACCATAGCTGAGTGGTTTGGGAAAGGCTCCATTTTCAAAATGAGATTCAGATGTTTTTTGCTAAATCCATACTCTATTGCATTTGAATGGAAACTTCAGTAGAATTTCTGCCTCTCTCTCTCTCTCCCCCCACTTAAGCCCTGAAATGAATGCAACTTAAACTTGGTGGCTGTCACAGACCAGATCCCAAGATGTTTGTTTTTACAGCGTTTTGGAGAAAGGTATAAGAATCTGTAGTATATGGTGGAACCAGCAGTTAGCGTAATGTCTATGTCGCTGGACTCCCACGTAGTCGACCGCGGTTCGTGTCCCGGACCCGGTGGCTTAAAACTCACGCCGGGCACGTGTGCATGCGTGCCCAAGATCCCGAGAGGAGAATGGAGGAGAAGGGATTGTGGCGTGACCATCCCCCCTGGGGGGTGATTTCTCGCTTTCTGTCTCTATGTCTCTCTCTGTCTGTCTGGTGAGCGCACGCGCCCTACAGTGAAAATCTCTCCAAAAAAAAAAAAAAAAGAATCTGTAGTATATGGTGAGTCGGAACAATTGTATAAACTGATCAGTGCTGGTTTGTCAGTAAATAGATGTTTCTGCTGGGTCAAACCATGACCACAGCAGTCTAAAGACACCAATTCAAAGGAGCGAGAAGGGCAGATAATGGAAAAGCAACATACAAGTGACTTGGCTCTAATTTGAAACCACCTCCTCTCATGATTTGATTGTCTTCTGAGGCTGAAAACAACATAGGAATCTCAGGCCCCAGCAGAAACTAGACCTTACTTAACACACAAGCTCAAAGTGACTGCTTAGGAATAAATGGAACTCTGGGACCAGCAGTTGGCATAATGGCTATGTTGCTGGACTCCCACGTAGTCAACCGTGGTTCGAGTCCCAGACCCGGTGGCTTAAACTCACATCAGTCGCATGTGCATGCGTGCCCAAGATCCCGAGAGAATAGAGGAGAAAGGATTGCTGTGTGGCCATCCCCCCAGGGGTTGACTTCTCACTTTCTGTCTCTCTGTCTTTCTCTGTCTTTCTGGTGAGTGCACACACCCTGTAACAAAAAAACAAACAAACAAACAAAAAACTCAAAAAAATGTTTTTAAAAAGGAATAAATGGAACTCTCTGGGTAATTCTACAAAGCTTGCATAGACAAACAATGCCTGTGCAAATAGGGACCAGAACTAACAGAAGCAAAGCCCCTGGCTCTTTTGAGAATCAGCACAAGTAAGCAGGGCCCCTGGCCTGAACAGGGTCACTTCCTGGGGAAGGATGTGAGGGCCCCGCCTACCCATAAATCAAAGGTCACCTGGAAACCACTTTAGGGACAGGAATTTTCAGGCAAAGTTGGGTTTGTCTATGGTAACAAACAGATGGGTATATAAGAAATTACAACATAAATAAAAGGTTGGAGTACTAGCAGTCCTCTATTCCCACTGTCAGGATCTCTATTCAGATCAAATAAGAAACGTAGCCTCCTGTAAGCATAGACACCTGTGAATTTTAAAAGTACTTTAAATTCCTTGTTTGGTGGTAGCATAAATACTGCCCTTGTTCTCCCCTCCCAGTTCTTGCCTGTCACTTCTTTACTTCTCGAAGCCATAAGCCTCAACAGTTTAGCCACTATTCAAATCTCTCAAAGAAATAGGTAGTAGACAAATCTGAAGTTCATTAAAACGATTGCCTCATAGTCATCCATAATTCCAAAGTCTTACTTAGAGCTGGTAAATACTATTAAGATGAATAACAGCCTTCTGATACTGCCATTAAACATTTTAGGATACAATGTGTTTATGAAAAACATTTTTATTTTAGGCCCTTGGGAGGTACAGTTTTTTTTGTTTTGTTTTTTTTTTAAGCCTTAAAAGACTAAGTCTCAAATTGTGTAATGAGTGTGTTTACCAGACCAAATATGAGACAGTTTTTGATTTCAGAAACCTTGGAATTAGGAAATAAGGTCTGTAATCACCCATCTATTTCTGCATGGGATGAGAAATACTATTCATTAATTCTGGGGGGAAATGTCAAAACAAATGGCAATCTCATCCATCTTTCTGTACTGCAAACCTCCCAGGACCAGGCCAGTCCCTGCCTAAAGCAGTCATTTAAATGCTAAGCACGTGCAGGTACCTGTCCCTTTCTTGGTGTGCCACCCACTCCCACTCAGTTTAAGTCATGTTCATTCTTGCTTTAAAATACTGAACTGCACCACAACTCTGGGAATATACTAAAATGATTGAATTGTGCGTTTTAAATGGATACATTGCATGGTACGGTATGTGAATTCTATCTCAATAAAGCTGTCAAGTAACAGTAAACACAAAGAAGTTTAAAATGTAAAAAAAAAAAAAAAAGAAAAAAACTTCAGCCTTTTAAATTAAAACAAGAAGGTCATTTTTCACTCGTTAAATGGGCAAAATTACTTTTTGCTTTTCAGTCTGGGGCTTGATCCTCACTAGACCCAGGTACGATGGTCACGCTCATACACTATGAGCATGAAATTAAGCCTCGGGAAAACTGAGGCCATGCATATCGAGAATTTAATTTAAGAATTCACAGTTTCTGAGATGATCATTTCTCTTCTATGACTCTAACCTAAAGAAATAATCAGAAATTGTTTCGTTTTGTTTGTTTAAATCTAAGCAAAGAGTACTCACTAGCTTTGTTATAAATGCAAAACAACTGGGAAAAAACACTGCTGGATTGGTTAAATCACAGTATAGCCACACAATGAAATTAGCATAACCACTTTCAAAGAATATTTAATAGTATGGAAGAACATTCAAAATATAAGCTCAAGTTAAAAAACAAAAACAAAAACAAACAAACAAAAAAAGGCAGGATAAAGACAAGCATAGTAACACAAGCAGGACTGGGTTTTGTTCCCAGACCAGTGTAAACAGGACAGACGCAGTGGTGTAAGCCTGTGGCCTGAACTAAGCAGGAGGCTGCAGCAGGAGGGTTGTGACACAGTGAGACCCTGTCAAAAATGCATATCTCTACCTCTCTGTCTCTCCCCCTCTCTTTCTCAAAACAAAACAACAACGACAACAACAACAACAACAAAAACAGGGTTTAAAGTGAATTTTTAAAATGATCTCAATTATATAAAAGAAAGATGAGAAGGAATACAGCAAACTGTTAACAGTGGCTACGTCTGATTAATGGAACCATGGATCTTTTAATTTTCCTCCCTTGTGCTTTTTTATTTTACAAAATGTTCATGATGAGGAGATATATGGGATATTTATGTGCATGCACATGTATACACACACACACACAGAGACTTTGCTTATATAATTAGACAAAACAAATATTTAAGCTATTCCTTAAAGCCAGTACATAAACAGGATACATTTCACCGTTCAGGAGCTGTATTTGAATTAATTAGTAGCTCTTATAGCTTCTTTAATACTCACTTCAGAAGTGTTTCATTATGTTGCTTAGAGACATATTTCCCACAACTTTCTACTCTCTAGGGAGCGTTCCTAACTAGAGCTTCTAGTTTTCTACCTCTTTTCTGTTTTCAAACTCTGGAGCCATAGCTTTGGGTACATATTTGTAAGGAAAGACCTGCCTTTAAATTAGAGATCACAGATGTAGACAGACCCTCTGGGCCTAGGAAACCAAAAGCTCCAGAGGGGCTCAGAGTCCAGACACAGTGGTTACTGCCTGCTGTCCACACGTCCTGGTCTCTGCTCTGCTCTCATGCTGGGCCCCAAGTGGACGCTCAAAATGTTTGCCTGGATCTTAGTTTCAGTCTTTCTTACCCAAGGTGACTTTGTTCCTCATCTATTATTCTCTCTTATTGTAGCTTCACTCTCCTTCACAGCCTTTTACCTGGCAGCTTAAAATCATGTTATTTTCATATTTAAAAGAAAGCCTCACTGCATCCTCTCGAAGCGGCCCCTACCATCCTTCTCTACTAAATACCCTCAAGCCATGAATGTTTCTCCTTTTTCCTAATCTCCACACACTCAGCCCATTTCCATCTGACATCTGCCCCACCATTTTACACAACTGTTTTCAAAAGTTACTAGAAGACAAAGGTTCTTTGTAAGTTCATATGCCAGGGGCCAGCAGCTGGTGTGGTGGTTAAGGCGCTGGACTCCCACATGGCCAATCATGGTTTGAGTCTCAGCTTGAAAATCATGCCAGTGTGTGTGTGTGTGTGTGTATGTGTGTGTGTGTGTGTGTGTGTCCAAAATCCAGAGAGGAGAATGGAGAAGTTCTAGGGAGCGTTCCTAACTAGAGCTTCTAGTTTTCTACCTCTTTTCTGTTTTCAAACTCTGGAGCCATAGCTTTGGGTACATATTTGTAAGGAAAGACCTGCCTTTAAATTAGAGATCACAGATGTAGACAGACCCTCTGGGCCTAGGAAACCAAAAGCTCCAGAGGGGCTCAGAGTCCAGACACAGTGGTTACTGCCTGCTGTCCACACGTCCTGGTCTCTGCTCTGCTCTCATGCTGGGCCCCAAGTGGACGCTCAAAATGTTTGCCTGGATCTTAGTTTCAGTCTTTCTTACCCAAGGTGACTTTGTTCCTCATCTATTATTCTCTCTTATTGTAGCTTCACTCTCCTTCACAGCCTTTTACCTGGCAGCTTAAAATCATGTTATTTTCATATTTAAAAGAAAGCCTCACTGCATCCTCTCGAAGCGGCCCCTACCATCCTTCTCTACTAAATACCCTCAAGCCATGAATGTTTCTCCTTTTTCCTAATCTCCACACACTCAGCCCATTTCCATCTGACATCTGCCCCACCATTTTACACAACTGTTTTCAAAAGTTACTAGAAGACAAAGGTTCTTTGTAAGTTCATATGCCAGGGGCCAGCAGCTGGTGTGGTGGTTAAGGCGCTGGACTCCCACATGGCCAATCATGGTTTGAGTCTCAGCTTGAAAATCATGCCAGTGTGTGTGTGTGTGTGTGTATGTGTGTGTGTGTGTGTGTGTGTCCAAAATCCAGAGAGGAGAATGGAGAAGTGATTGTGATATGGCCATGCCCACTGGGGGGAAGATTTCTCACTTTCACTCTTTCTGTGTCTCTCTGTCTCTATCCCCTCTGGTGAGCACATGCACCTTATCACAAAAACATACAGAAAAAAAAATTTTAATTCATGTGATAAAATCAGATTGGTCAATTGTACCTCAATCAAACTAGAAAAAAAAAATGAAACTAAAATAAAAAACAGCCACTCTTTTTACAGCCTGTCTCTCCTTGTTATACAATGCCACATGCATTTGTCTGTCTGTTGGCCACAGAGGATAGCCAGGCCAAGTATGAGGCTCAAGAAATGAAGCAGACAGTTTCCACCCTCCTGGAGTTGGATGTCTGACGGAGAGAGTCAGAGGATACCAAATGGAAGAACCATTGCTCAGTGGTGGGAAGGAGTCAGGATGGAGTGGCTCTCTCTACCAGGAAAGGGGTCTTCAGGAAGAAGGCAGAGCCAGACAGAGCAGGGAGGAAGAGCAAGGGTTTTCCAGAGAGGCCACTGTACCAAAAAGACAAATGCTGGAACCAGCAGTTAGCGTAATGGCTATGTCGCTGGACTCCCACGTAGTCGACCCCACGTTGTGTCCCGTACCCGGTGGCTTAAAACTCACGCCGGACGCGTGTGCATGTGTGCCCAAGATCCCGAGAGGAGAATGGAGGAGAAGGGATTGCAGCGTGACCATCCCCCCTGGGGGGTGATTTCTCGCTTTCTGTCTCTATGTCTCTCTGTCTGTCTGGCAAGCGCACATGCCCTATAGCAAAAAACCTCTCCAAAAAAAAAAAAAAAAAAAAAAGACAAATGTTGATTTTCTATAGCAGCCTCAGGCATCAAGTGTCTGGCGCTCACAAGGCACACCTGTATCCCTTCCCAATCGTTGTTTGCTGGTTTCTCAATACTCGTTCCTTGGGCCTCATCATTTCTAAGACTTAGCTCTTGGATTCTGTGCCCATGGCTAGTTCTCTAAATGTCTACCTGGTTTTTTAAGTCCCATTCTCTCCCATCATTTGTAGGGTATTTCCCCACATTCCATATGCTGTACCTCTATTGTACCTAAAATTTCTCTTCACACTGAATTAATCAGTTAAGTACAATTGATCTTACTCAGAAGGACATGCCCATTCCTTGCCACTGTCTTAATGATCTTAACAATGTCTTAATGAATCCTGTTGCTCCCCTGCTCAGAAAACTTTATTGTCTGGCTCCAGTGTAAATTACAGAGTCTTCCAAGACCTTGAAGGTCCCATGCTGACTGTCCAACTTAATCTCATCTGCTGTCTCTCCTCCTGTCCCAAGCTTCAGCATTCCAGTCACCAAACAACTCCTTTATATCTGGTTTGCGCCTGTACCTCTGTGCACTCAGATTCATCTGCTACTCTTCTTCCCAGGTCATCTCAAATGGCTCTTCTGAGAAAGCTCTCTGAACTATTCTATCCTGACTCTGCCCACTGTGCCCTCCCTCTTTTGGTGTACTCCCATTGCATTTTGTGAGGAAATCATAGTGGTATTAATGCACACATCTTTCAGTGATGAGGGCTCCTTATTGACCTGGTCTGTGTAGGCTAAGCACTAGGAAAGCCTCACGAATGGCAATCCCCTAAACTGTTAACTACAAAAAATGGAAACTACTTCTGGACCATCGGATGGTATGGAAATTAAGACAGCTGGATCCCACATAGCCAATCATGGTTCAAACCCTGGTCCTGGCAGCTTGAGAAATACAGGAGGTGCCTATGCATAGGTGCCCAAAGTCCTGACAGAATGACGAATGGAGGAAAAGGGATTGTAGCATGACTGTGTCCCATTGGGGAAGTACTTTGTCTCTCTCTCTTTCTCTCACACTTTCTCTCTCCTTCCCTCTCTTTCACACACACACACACACACACACCCTCTGGCAATAAGAAAAAGAAAATGGCATCTAAGTCAAACTTGGTTTGTCTTAAGAGAAAAACCAAGGCAATGGTAGACTACGGTTGATACTTGCCTCTTGCACCCCTGAAAAGGATTCGGTAGTGTTTTTCTAGTCGCTTGGCCATATAATTGGCATTTAATATTGCAATTTCCGTGGCCTGTTTAAGGCCCTTACTGCCCATCATCTGCAACAGAATGAAAGAGAGCCATCAACTACTGAACAGGTGAACCCAGTGACACCACAGTTAAATCTCACCCACAAAGAAAGTCAGCCCACCAGAACTCTGTAGGTTAGATACAAATGGAAAATCCCAACAAGGGCATCTGTCAGTTCTAAGCCTGAAATGATTTCTGGCTTTCTCCTTTGAACAGTAACCTGACATTTGTTATTATAGTAACAAAGCCCATAACAGGGCAAAGTAGACTGCTGACTGGTGTGTTATGTAAAGAGGAAAAAGGAGGCCAGCAGGTAGCATGGTGGTCAAGGCAGCTGGATCCCACGTGGTTGACTGCATGGTTGAAGTCCCAGACTTGGTGGCTTGAAAAACATGCCAGGCACGTGTCCATGCATTCCCCAAATCCCGAGAGGAGAATGGAGAAGGAGGGAGTGTGGGGTGGCCATCCCCCATTGAGAGTGATTTCTCACTTTCTCTCTCTCTCTCTCTGTCTCTCTCCAGTGAGGGCACATACTCTGTAACAAAAATTTTTTTAATGATGAAATTAAATAACATGAAGATGAGAAAGAATTGTTCTCAAGTTACATCTGTTGTGGGTGTTTTCTGTTTGCTTGTATGTCTGTTTACTCTGAGCTGGAGATGTCTTGATAATCGCCAAGGTTCCCATGAGATTTTTGCCAAAAACCACACTAAATCAGTTTTGTATAGTTTGTCTCCCCATTGTCCATAGTCAAGAATATTTATGTTTAAACCACTCCAGTTTCAACCTTACTCTTCTGGTGGTTCATTAGTCCCTGTGGTCTTAAGGTGTAAACATCAAAAACAGAAAAAAAAAAACCCTTAAAATCAAGATGTACCAATTCTTATTGACTACTTTATCCCGAGAGCACTTATGTACAATAGAAGTTTGATATATATTAAACAGATAATGAACGTAAAACAAGCAAGAAAGCACCAAATAAAACAACAGCAATAACAAATCCCAAAGGAGATAACACATATTCCCAGGCTGGTCAAAGCAAGGTTCCTAGAGTAAGAGTTAGAACTTGACTGGAAACTTAAACACAGATAGAATTTGGGGTGGCCTCATAAGCACTGTGAAGCACTGTGCACAGAGAGCCAGGTCCCATATGACCAACCGTGGTTTGAATCCTGGTTGTGGAGGTGTGAAAACCATGGCTAGGTACTGAGCTAGTAGGTGGCATCAAAGTTAAGGCGTTGGATCCCACATGGTTGACTACAGTTCAAGCACCATACTCTATGCCTTGAAAAATTACACTGACGGGAACCAGCAGTTGGCGTAATGGCTATGTCGCTGGACTCCCACGTAGTTGACCGCGGTTCGTGTCCCGGACCCGGTGGCTTAAAACTCACGCCGGGCACGTGTGCGTGCGTGCCCAAGATCCCGAGAGGAGAATGGAGGAGAAGGGATTGCGGTGTGACCATCCCCCCCGGGGGGTGATTTCTCGCTTTCTGTCTCCATGTCTCTCTCTATCTGTCTGGCGAGCGCACGCGCCCTACAGTGAAAATCTCTCAAAAAAAAAAAAAATTACACTGAGCACCTGTTCATGTGCACCCAAAATACTGAGAGGATATTAGAGGAGAAGGGATTACAGCATGGCCCTAGGGGAGTGATTTCTCACTTTTTCTCTCTCTCTGGTAAGTACACATGCCCTACAGCCAAAGAAGAAAAAAAAATACGAAAAGAAAAGAAAGGAAGAAAATTAAAATTAAAACACGGGGCCAGCAGGTGGCATGGTAGTTAAGGCACTGCATGACTATAGTTCAAGCCCCAGACCCGGCAGCTTAAAAAAAAAAAAATCACACTGGGTGTGTATGTGCACACCAAAAATGCTGAGAGGAGAATGGAGGTGAAAAGACTGCACATGGCCATCTCCCACTCCAGTGAGGGGGATGGGACAGTTGATTTCTCACTTTTCCTCTGTCTCCAGTGAGTGCAAGCGCCCTATGGCAAAAACCTTTAAAAAAGTGAAAGAAATAAATAAAAATATGCCAGGTATCTGTGTGGCTGCCTGCCCAAAATGCTGACAAATGGAGAAATGGAAGCAAAAAGGATTACGTAATATTCATAACCCATTTGGGAGTGATTTTTCTCTCTTCTTTCTCTCTCTCTCTCTTTCTCTCTCTGGTGAGTGCAAATGTCCTCTGGCAAAAAAAAAAAAAACTGGAGAGGCAAAGAGAAGAGGGAACACACTCCAAGTGAGAATAGTGGCAAAAACAATGGGTCTGGAGAAGGAAGACACATGACACATGACTGTCACCTGGGGGGTCACTGTAGGGCAAGGTGGATGTGACTACATTGTCTAACCTGCCAACCTTCACTAGGAAGGACTCAGACTTTGGTTCAGCCAGCCACTGGCTCTCAGTCTATGGATCAGAGTCACTGAGTATCTTTTTAAAAATGCTGACAGCTTAAGCCCAATCCTACATAAGCCAAATATGATTTCTGCTGGAATGGGGGGTCTAAGCATAGGCATTTTGGGGATACTCCCCTAAAAATTATGTGTGAGCTCGTGAGAACCAGCAGTAAAGGCAATAGGAAGCCCAGAGAGGTCGGAGAGCCCTTGGGGTGAGCCTAGCTGCCCTGTAGGAGTGTCCCAGATGGACTGTAGCAGGGAGAGGAGAAGCTAGTGCTATGCTCCAGGGGGATAAGTATCAGCCAGGAATAAGAGAAGCTCAAGGTCAGAGGGGTAGCTCAAACCCTCTTTATTTATTCTTTAAACTGAGGGTTCCAGGCATATGGCCAAGCCAGTTTGGGGCATTTATTTTCTGTATGTCAGAAATTATCTCCAACCCAAATATGTCCACACAAATAACCCAAATTTATAGAACCCAAGGATCAAAAGGGAAACAGAATTGGATATATTTTTTTAAAAAAATAGTCCTTTATTCTGAGTTTTTTTTTTTCCCATTTGCAAAACAGCTTGAGTATTATTATTATTATTATTATTATTACTTGAATTATCATTCTTAAAGGCAGGTTTTAAGGCCAGCTGGTGGCCTGGGAGTTAAGGCAGCTGGATCCCACAAAGCTTACACTAAACTGTTTGAGTTCTTGATATGGTGGCTAAAAAAAACATGCCTGGCATAGGCATAAGTTCCCAAAATTCCCAAAGAAGAGAAAAATGGAGGAGAAGGGATACAATGTGACCATCCTCTCCTGGGGGTTGCTTTCTGACTCACTCACTCACTCTCTCTCTCTCTCTCTCTTTTCTCCAGTGAGTGCATGCACCCTCTGGAAAATTCTTTAAAAAGTAAAGCAAATTTAAGTCCCTGTGGTACAGAATTGGTCCAGTTCCTAAGAAACTTTTCACAAAGAATCATAAAAACCACACCATTCAAAAATAACAGCTGGCCCCAGAGAGTCATCAGCAGGATTTGCATATCGAGTCTTGGGGTTTTGTTTTACAGGAGTCATCCTTTAATGAGGGGCACTGGTTTGGAAGGACCACTCTAATTAGCAGCTGAACAAGTGTTCCTTTCCACGGTCTTGTCAGTCAGAAGGGTAGGTAGGCCAGTCTGAACAAGAGCTGCATAAAATAAATTCCAGCCCTAGAGGGTTTGGAGCACGACATTAAAGGGAGCATATTCTCTGACAAAGTCTACCCCAACCTCCCCACCCCCACCCCAGAACATAGCTCCCTAAAGTGCAAAGAGCTTTCAGAAACCATCACTTGGGAACCAGCAGTTAGCGTAATGGCTATGTCGCTGGACTCCCACATAGTTGACCGCGGTTCACGTCCCGGACCCAGTGGCTTAAAACTCATGCCGGGCGCGTGTGCGTGCGTACCCAAGATCCCGGGAGGAGAATGGAGGAGAAGGGATTGCGGGAAGTGACCATCCCCTCTGGGGGTGATTTCTCACTTTCTGTCTCTCTGTCTGGCGAGTGCACGCACCCTATAGCGAAAACCTCTCAAAAAAAAAAAAAGAAAGAAAGAAAGAAAGAAAGAAAAGAAAAGAAACCATCACTTGAACAAATCTCCACTACTTTTCATCGTATTCTCTTGGCCTTGGTGAAAAATGGAGTGAAACGAGATGTATTCCTAAACTTTGTCCTAGGATGTTAACCAAGTGTAATAATATGTGTGCAACTTCTCACTTGCAAGGGGCTGTATAAATCCTACAGGAAACCACATGACGTGGCCAGAACACCCATATGACTCATAGAACTTAACTGAGTCTGGAAAAATATATCTGGCATGTCTGCTTCTCTGATGTCAAACCCACTGTAAGAACCCAAAGGAAATCATGTAATGAAGAAGAGATGAAATGAATTTTAGCTAATCTCTTTAGGAAGGCTTCTTCTACCCAAGTCACCAGTAACACTCGTTAAACCACATCTCAGACTGTGGATTGTTCTCTTTTTAAGCCAAAAGGGAAGAGTACAGTCTCAACCCTCACACCACACACATGTAAACATCACATCCCTTGCCCACCTACCCATGTGTCAGGTCTCACCTTGATATATGCCCATGAAATGGGCAGGATGGAGCTGGAACCCCATGGGGCAGCGCTGATGGTACCCACAGGGCAGGCATCCTCATTTGGCTTCATTGAAATCATGGGATGATTTGGCAGAAAGGGAGCAAGATGCTTTTTCCTGTATTGTTTTTAAGTACAAATTCAGAATATAAGAAAAAGATCCAGTCCAGACAAGTTCTGGGCCCTCTCTGAAAGCTCTGTTCTTACAGGGACTCGGACAGTGGAAGGACTTTATACTTGCTAAGAGGCAGATGCTCAGGAAGATGTCCTTCCTTCCTGGAGGAAGAGTCGGACAGCCATCAGCAGCCCAAGAGCTTACCCAAGAGCTGTGCTGGTGAGTTTGGCAGAGGCTAGCAGCCATGGGATGCTATGTGAAGCAAGCTGCTCCCCATGGGCTATCCCAGCCCTTCTCCCTCAGCCCCACACACTTTCCCAAGGTTTTACAGGATCTAGAACAGTGCAGAAGAGATGATGTCCAGGGGCTGCCCCACACTGAGGCACTGGGGCTCACCTATTTACTATAAATAAAAATCAAAAAGAAAACCAGAGCCTTGTGGTTAAGGGAGCCCGTTCCCACATGGCCAACTGTGCAGTTCTATTCCCAGCTCCAGCTGCTTGAGAAACATACTGAGTGTGTGGATGTACCCCAATCCCGAACAGGATGGACAAACGGAGGAGAAAGGATTGAAGTGTGACCACACCCCATCGGGGGTACTTTCTCTCTCTCCCCCTCTCTCTCTCTGGCTACCACTTTGACAAAAAATTTTAAAACAAGAAAAGAAAAGCAGAAAACAAGAAAGGAGCCAAGCTCCTGGTCAGTCTGAGAGCTGGGCCCCTTGACCCACTTTTGGAAGCAATTCTAGAAACAGCTGCTCTCACTTTCACCAGGTGATTCAATTTCAGTGTAAAACAGTATCAACTGCTAAGAAGTATTCCTTATCCTCACTTCATTCAATTATTTCTTGTAATGTTTGTCTTCTTTACTTCACATCTGATTTACGTTCAATATAACTTTCCATTAGATGAGTTAAGAGAGAGGAAGGAAAAAAAACTCCTTGAAAATCAAAGTTAGTCTAAAAGATGATTCTTGGCCCTGATGTTCCAGTTTGGATTCATAATTGCCAAGTACAGCTCCCTACTTATTACTCTGTTAATAAAACTACTTTGTCTATGCACAGCTGGGAATTCAGCAAGACCCATCAAACACTGTGGTTAATAAAATCTATGCTTTTTTCGGATGTACACTAAAAGCCCTTTTCCCACTGTTCCTCACCCAGCCCCTACAAGTGCACTACATGTAGAAGGTATCCTGGACAAGAACAGTGAGTTGGGGCCATTCCTTCTTTCTGTCTCCAAAGTTATCCTGAAGCTAGCAGCCCAGAACTCACACTCCGATGGGCCCCATGCCAGGGCCTCCTCCTCCGTGGGGAATGCAGAAAGTCTTGTGAAGATTTAGATGCGAAACATCAGACCCAAAGTCTCCAGGACGACAGATTCCCACCTACCACAGAAGGAAAGAGTCAAAAGTCAATGTCAAGAGCTTTGAAGGGTGTCTGGAGCAAAGGCCAGGGCTATTTGGTGCCACCGTCTTTCCTTAGAAGAAAGGCATGCAGAGCCATGTCCATGGTGTTTACAGAAATGTTCACACTGGCCCAGTTCTGCAGTGGAAACCTTGCATCCTGAGGGCAGAGTGGTTTGTAGTGTCTATGGAAAGAGCAAATGACCATTTAGTCCAATTTAGATTTTAAAAATTTTAAGTTTTTTAATTGGGAGCTGGCTTCATGTCACATATTGTGCTGCTCAAGAAAAACTGGAGGACCAGCAGTTGGCATAATGGCTATATTGCTGGATTCCTCCATGTAGTTGACCATGGTTCGAGTCCCAGATCTGGTGGCTTGGACTCACGCCGGGCATGTGTGCATGTGTGCCCAATATCCTGAGCGGAGAATGGAGGAGAAGGGATTATGGTGTGGCCATCCCCTATGGGGGGAGATTTCTCACTTTCTGCCTCTCTGTCTCTCTCTGTCTTTCTGGCAAGCGCACATGCCCTATAGCAAAAACCTAACCGAAAAATAAATAAATAAATAATAAAAGAAAGGAAGAGAGAAAAAGAAAAACCGGATCCTACATGGCAACCATGGTTTGAATCCCCAGCCCAGGCAGCCTGAAACAGTCTAGGCACATGTGTAAATGCCCAAGATCTAATGGGCTGGTAAACTGGAAGAAAGGGATCAGAGAGTGACTAGACCCTATGGAGGGTGCTTTTCTCTCTCTCTCACTTTCACATATGCACACATGTACTCTCTCATGAAAAAAATAAAGTAACACACAGACTAGAATACATGAACTATTCCTACTTATCCACCTTAAGAAGGGGGAGAGGAAGTGCCCCTAACACAAGAAAGGACAGCACCATTAACGTAGGCAACTTTTACCTAAGAAGTAGTACTTTGGGCATACTGATAGTCCCTTCAGTCACATTAATGGGAAGGGTTTGTAGGCCACTGGAGAGGAAGCAGAACCGGGGAGAGGGAACAAGGCTACAGTTTTCCTGATGATCCAGATACCAGTCGCCTCACTCAACTGGCTTCCTTGCCACTTTGGCAATAACGAAGATGTTGACTTAGCCAAGGATACAGAATTTGTTTATGCTATTGAAGGAATAGAAAATTCCTGGACTACACTTATAAAAGAAATTAGGTAGAGCTGAGAAAAGAAGAAAGAGTTTGAAATATTAAAATGAATATATAGATCAATAATAGAAGGAAAAAAGGAAAAAACCCATGAAGTTGAGAAGTCTATGAGATCATGACACTCTTCTCTTTCAGTTCCCAAGAGCCTGTCTTCAGTTTCCCATTACATGGACACTCCACCCCTGAGGAGTCTGCTCAGCTCTTTGGACTCCTGTTGTACAACTGATGAAGCTGAAGTCAGGTAAAGTGGCTTGTCCATGGGAGATCAGCACCCACCAGTGTCCAGAACATGGGTCTAAGTTGGATGACTTTCTTGGCTAGTAGCATCCCCAGAAAATGCTGTCACCCTACCCCTTAAAACCTATGGATATTCAGCTCCCTGCCTCCTTGCAAGTGTTTTGTTTGTTTGTTTGTTTACCTCCTCCTCAGCATCTCCCATCACTTCCTCTGGGATCTATAATCTTTTGAACCTGGAGCACTTAGTCAGAAGCTGGCAATAACATCAGCCTCAGTTTTCAATACGGTGTTGTTTTAGGATGACTTTCAAGAAGTCAGCAGAAAATATATATATTTTTAACTTATCCATTTTCTTAAGGGAACTAAGGGAGCCCGAATCAAGGTCCCCACCTGGGCATTCATATTTGCCCCATCTAGGTAGACTTGTCCTCCATGCTGATGGATCAAGTCACACACATCACTGATGTTCTCTTCAAACACTCCATTGGTGGATGGGTACGTAATCATAATTGCTGCCAGGTTCTCCTTGTGTTTATCCACCTGTAGGAGAGAAGAAAGCAGAGAAAAACAAAGGAAGGAAGTGTATCTTTTTGGGCCAAATGCCTACTTTATGTTCAAGGAATAAGAAAAATGAAGTCTTAAGTTTTTGCATTCCTAGAACTGTCTCAAAGTATGATGACAGCAATCAGAAAGTTACAGTCAAGGCCAGCCTGTGGCATGGTGGTTGAGGCAGCTGGATCCCACATGACCTACCATGAAGTTCAAGTCCCAGACCCAGAAGCTTGAAAAACACACCAGGGACTGGCAGTTCACGGTTTGAGTCCCAGACCTGGTAGCTTGAAACTCACACTGAGCACGTGTGCATGTGTGCCCAAGAATCCAGGAGAAGAATGGAAGAGCATAGCCATTCCCCCTGGGAGGGTGATTTCTCACTTTCCCTCTCATTGTCTCTGTTTTTCTCCCTCTCTAAAAGGAAAAAAATCTCTAAAAAACCAAAAACAAACAAAAAAAAAACACTGGATGCATGTGCATGTATATCCAAAATACCAAGAGGATCGTGGAGAAGAAATTGTGGTGTGGCCATATTCCCTGGGAGGTGATTTCTCATCTTCTATCTCTCTCTCTCTGTCCCTTTCTAGCAAGCAAACATGCCCTATGGCAAAACTTAAAAAAAAAAAAAGTCACAGTCAGGGACAGCCCATGGTACAGTTAAGGCAGCTAGTCCTACTGCGCAGCTTAGTCCCAGGCCCAGCAGCTAAAAAAATGCTGTTCCAGGTGTGTGCATGCCAAAAGTCTAAGAGGAGATGGAGAAGGGACTGCACCATAACTGTCCCACTCCTGGAGGGTGTTTTCTCATCCCCACAATGGACAGTTCATACGCCCTATAGCAAAAATTAAAAAAAAAAATTCACAGTATTACTCTCTTCATAAATCATTTCAAAGACATACACGATCTCTGCAGACTAGGACTCTATAGCTAAGACCAAGAAGACTGTTAAGGAAATTTTTGGATATTGTGAGTCCCAACTCTCTAAGATGGTGGTATCTCTTTGGTTTTGGTCATCTCAAAATTATTTCAGGGGACCAGCAGTTGGTGTAATGGCGACGTCACTGGACTCCCATGTGGTTGACCACGGATCAAGTCCTGGACCCGGTGGCTTAAACTCACATTGGGCATGTGTGCATGTGTGCCCAAGATCCTGAGAGGAGAATGAGGAGAAAGGGCTGCAGTGTGGCCATCTTCCTGAGGGGTGATTTCTTGCTTTCTGTCTCTCTGTCTCTCTGTCTTTCTGGCAAGTGCACACGCACTATCCAGAAGCTTGAAAAACACACCAGGGACTGGCAGTTCACGGTTTGAGTCCCAGACCTGGTAGCTTGAAACTCACACTGAGCACGTGTGCATGTGTGCCCAAGAATCCAGGAGAAGAATGGAAGAGCATAGCCATTCCCCCTGGGAGGGTGATTTCTCACTTTCCCTCTCATTGTCTCTGTTTTTCTCCCTCTCTAAAAGGAAAAAAATCTCTAAAAAACCAAAAACAAAAAAAAAAAAAACACTGGATGCATGTGCATGTATATCCAAAATACCAAGAGGATCGTGGAGAAGAAATTGTGGTGTGGCCATATTCCCTGGGAGGTGATTTCTCATCTTCTATCTCTCTCTCTCTGTCCCTTTCTAGCAAGCAAACATGCCCTATGGCAAAACTTAAAAAAAAAAAAAGTCACAGTCAGGGACAGCCCATGGTACAGTTAAGGCAGCTAGTCCTACTGCGCAGCTTAGTCCCAGGCCCAGCAGCTAAAAAAATGCTGTTCCAGGTGTGTGCATGCCAAAAGTCTAAGAGGAGATGGAGAAGGGATTGCACCATAACTGTCCCACTCCTGGAGGGTGTTTTCTCATCCCCACAATGGACAGTTCATACGCCCTATAGCAAAAATTAAAAAAAAAAATTCACAGTATTACTCTCTTCATAAATCATTTCAAAGACATACACGATCTCTGCAGACTAGGACTCTATAGCTAAGACCAAGAAGACTGTTAAGGAAATTTTTGGATATTGTGAGTCCCAACTCTCTAAGATGGTGGTATCTCTTTGGTTTTGGTCATCTCAAAATTATTTCAGGGGACCAGCAGTTGGTGTAATGGCGACGTCACTGGACTCCCATGTGGTTGACCACGGATCAAGTCCTGGACCCGGTGGCTTAAACTCACATTGGGCATGTGTGCATGTGTGCCCAAGATCCTGAGAGGAGAATGAGGAGAAAGGGCTGCAGTGTGGCCATCTTCCTGAGGGGTGATTTCTTGCTTTCTGTCTCTCTGTCTCTCTGTCTTTCTGGCAAGTGCACACGCACTATAAGCAAAAACCTCTCCAAAAAAAAAAAATTATTTCAGACCTTTTTGGTTCTAGACACATCTGTTTTCACAATTAATCTCTCTCACTCATCTTGCCATACCCACTCCTCCCCTTTCTCCCTCCTATTCTGTTGAAATTAGAATTCCCTCTGGGAGTGTTCTGCTTTGATAAAGATCTCTCTCATTTTTTGTTTGTTTTGTTTTTATACAGAAGGCAAGTGTACATAAAAGGTATGTTCCTGACTTTATCTTGTTTCTTTCCTTTTCTTTTTTTTTTTCTGGCCAGACAGTCAGAGTTTGCGTGTGTGGAAACAGGGCCTGGGGTGGTGGGGGGATCACATTCTGTATTAGAGACACATATTAATTACAACTGTTGTCAGAAAAAAAACTGTGGGGCAATGGAAGGGTGGAGTGGATGGAAGAGATGAGTGGTGTTGTGCATTTTCAGCTTCCCTGCGAAGGCAGTTACACGAAGTTCTCATCCTCCATGCCTAATAACCCTGACTAAATCACATTGCTATTCCACTGATTTCCTTCCCTCTTCAGCTGCAGCCTCCCGTCCACTGGTAGAAAGCAGATACGGTTGCTAAGCAACCTCTTCTTGGAGGTTGGGAGGTTGGGAGTGGGGGCTGGTGTTGGAGGATAGAAACAGGGTAGAATGCTGCCTGGAATAAGCGTGTTATGGCTGGGACAGTCACAGACGCTTGCAAAATCTACACTTGGGTTTGAATTCCCACCACAAAGAGTATACGTGTGACTGCTAGTTTGATTATCAATGGGGGAATGAAAAGGAGAGGGAAGTTTGGGCATAAAGAGGCAGGCATGTCCCGCAAGTATCCTTAGTACTGCCATGAATAATCCATTCCGTTTCTTACACAGGCACTAATTAGAAGACAGGGATTTCAGTTTAACAGACTTTCTCCCCATTGGTAAAGAGAAGAGTAGACTACGGTCAGCTTTATTGTGGACCAAAAATACAACTTCTGTTTGTTTATTTTTCTTATAGTGATTGTTAGGTTTTCTAATTCTATTCCATTTCCCCCCAGACTTATTCAGAGAAGAAACTGTAGTTCTTTCATCAAAATGCAAAAGATAACGTGTGCATAATCCTCTCCAGACCCCCACCGCCTCTTCCCAAGCAGACCTCTCCCATCTGTTAGGGGCAGACGAGTACCATGGCCTTGAGGTGAACTGCATCAATATTCCCGTATTTATCCACCTCCACAGGCTGAATCTTCATGCCTGCCATGTGGGCACTTGCTGGATTGGTCCCATGTGCTGATTTTGGAATTAGGCACACCTTGGGAATATAAAGAAAGGAAGCAAAGAAGGAGAAAAAAAAATCATCACAAGGCTATTAATAATGCCAAAAAAGTCCCATCATATGCTTGCAGTACAAATTAAATAGGCAACACATGCTTTTATTTAAGCTGACCACTAGTGTCTTAAAAAACTGCTACAATTTCATTATTTCTGTTACTGCAAAACAATGTCCAAAAGAAGAATTTCCATTTGTATCCCCAAATATTTCTCCCTAAAGACAATCAGAATATTAATACCATCTTCCCTTAACCCAGCACACTGAAAATACGCCTGCTCACTCTAGTCTTGTCTCAGTTATAATACAGAGGAAGCACCTTACAGAAAGATGAAACTGGCGGTTAAGCTCCCTAGGACTCAAATGTCCACGTCAGAGCTTCAGTACTCTTCTTGGCTTATAGAGGACAGGGAACAAGATAATAAAGACATAATTCTAAGGCGTCCCATTGCCAATATGTGCCAGTATGACACTAATTATGTCAACATTTATTGGATGCTTACTCTGCATTGAATTCTCCATGAGAATCATAGTCTGATCCTCTCACTGACAATACTAGCGTACATAGAAATGAACGTCTAGAGCCTAGTTGGTGGTGTGGTGGTTGGGGTGACTGGATCCCACATGGCTAACTGTGTGGTTCGAGTCCTGGACCTGGTGACTTGAAAAACATACTGGGCATGCATGTGTGCATGCCCACAAATCCTGAGAGGAGAAATTGAGAAAGGATTGTGGCATGGCCATCCCTCCTCTGGGGGATGTTTTCTCTTTCTTTCTCTCTTTCTCCAGAAAGCACATGTGCCCTCTAGCAAAGTTAAAAGGAAAAAAAGGGGGGAGGGGGTGAATGTCTGGAGCCCAGAGATGCTGTAGTACTTGGGGAAAGGGAGTATAGATTGAAATTAAAGAGAAATA